TCTGGGGCTTAGGGAGGGGGACTCTCCCTCCAAGCAACAGCCGCCTCCCTGTCCTCCACGCCAGAACGGATTAATGGTAATTACATTGAACCTTACGGGGAAATTTGCTTCGGGTTGCGACCAATTTGGGTTGTGGCCAGAGTCACAGAACGAATTAAGTTCATAAACCGAGGTTCCACTGTATTTCATATACTAAAGTTCAAAACCCCATAATGAAGCCATCCTTTTTTTAGGTCTCTTATATGGGAAAACAAAATGGAGAAATTTTAAGATGTGCAAATGCTGTTAGAAAGACAGTGGGCAATATACAGTCTGTGCGAGAAATGTTTGCTAAAAAAAAAAAAGTTAAACCAGTTGTATATGAAAGTGTACTTCTGCCCTCTTTTTATATGGAAGTGGGAGCTGGATATGTCAGAAGAAACACAAAGATAAGTTGAATGCAGTGGGAATGGAGTATTTAAGAAAAGTCTGCGTGGTAAAATGGAAGGAGTTACAAGATCAAGAATGAATAGGCGATGCATGAATGTTACCATGGATATTTTATATTTTTGCTGTAAACTTCTGTTAGTAAATTCAATGAAATCAGTAAGTGTATGTATTATATATGTCAAAGGGCTTTTGTTCATACAGAAATAACAAATGAGGATTGAATTGCAAAACAAATATATGAAGGAACAGTGAATGGATTGAGCAGAAGGGGTAAACTAATAAATTCACCATGGTTTGATGGTGTTAATAAAATCCTGAAAAAAAGAGAGGTGAGAAGTTTAAAAAGCAAAAGGCAATATATCAAGCAGAGTGTGAACTCTGGTGAAAGCAAGGATGGTTTGTAAGAACAGAAAAGTACAGAGAAATACAGTGAATCCGGTGGGAGTAAACTAGACTTAGCATGCAGGAGAAAGGAAAGAGGTAAGAGAAAAAGAAAGGAAATCTGGCTATCTGTTACTATTTTTCCGTGCTTTGCACAATAATGTTTACCAAAAGGGAATAGAATGATATGCATTTTATTGAAGTCAGTCTGGTTCACACATGCTGAGTGCACATGACATACTAGACTAAAATGTAATTGCCTAGTTTGTGCTCAATGAATTGTGCAAATTCAGCCAGTGTAATTAATAAATCTGGCTAAGTCTAGTTTACTCCCACCGGATTCACTGTATTTCTCTGTACTTTTCTGTTCTTACAAACCAACCTTGCTTTCACCAGAGTTCACACTCTGCTTGATATATTGCCTTTTGCTTTTTAAACTTCTTACCTTTGGCAATTTGGTTGAGTCAATTTTTTGTCTGTGTGAAGGACCCCAGTAGATATTGCTCAGAACATGGGGAATTACTCCAGGGCTTTAGGATTACAAGCTGAGCTACTGGAAGTGATTCCCATGAACATAGTTACTCAGAGAAGTAGCTCTGTTAGTTGCAACAAAAAGCACACTGGTTATATTTGTGTGACTCCTAAACCAAAGGGCATAGCTCTCAACTTCCCCATTTCCATCATGCATTGATCTTTAAAAGTTTCAGGTCTGGTGTTTAATCCAAACAAGATACCACTTGAGGTTCAGAGAAACTGTAATTTAACCCTATAATGACAAATTCCAGTTTCTATAATCCAAAATGGTACCCACTCCAAATCTGAATGACACAATAAACTTAAGATGCTAATTTAAGAGCTGTCCACAACACAGCAGGAAGATAAAATACTAGTTTGCACATACTCTTTAACTTGACTTTTAGCTTAATGTGTGATGGAAACTCACCTCAAATCTTAGGTCACCTCAAAGATTTTCTTTAAAGAAATTTAAAGAAATCTAAGACTTTAAGGTACAAAATGTCTTTGCTTTTGCAAGAAAACTACAGCTTTGTTTATGAAAAACTGATTTTTCATTTTGGATTAATATGTTTTGGGGGGGACATTGCACAATCATGAGGATTACACAAAGGAAAGCTACATGTGAAGCTTAAAGAGCCAGAGTCTGTCACTGCTTAAGGTGTTTAAGGCCAGCAAATCTATCTTCTATCTTCTACTAAAATGCTCGTGTCTGTTTGTTTGTAACCTTTAACTGGGCAAAACAATGCATCATAGGCCAACAATTTTTGAACCAAGGTACCTCAAACAGGCTTACAGAATGTGTCCAAAATCTGGGACCCATGACCCCCATGGAACTGAAATTTGGCAAATTTTATAAAACATTTTATGACATAAAGATTATCATAAAACATTTTATGACATAATACAAAATGTCATAAAACATTTCTTGTGGTCAACTCCTGACATTTGACTGTACTATATAGCTCAATATGAATGACATGGGCTATTTTCAAGGCAGATACATCTCTGAATATCTCCCTCAATTTCTAAGAACTTTTCCAGTGAAGACAGCACAACAGAAGCTCTGCCACTGTTGAAGGCACTGAGGAATCTGGTAAGGAAATATCTTTGAAATGATGACCCAACAGGTCACAGGTTGTCTAGTATAGCCCAGCAGCCAGGAAAACTGGCCTTTCAAGTGCTTACTGTCTTCCCGTTTTTTCCCACAGGCAACAAAGAGAAGGCTTAATTTTGAATGGATTAAGTTGTGAGATTGCATAAGGGATGGTAACCTCCGATTTGAGGAGGCCTGGAGCAGGGTGCTCCTGAGTCTTGCCCTGGAAACACCTGCCACCTTGAGGTAGGAGCATTGAACCTTCTCAAAATAAAGGGAACTGGGCTAATAGTTCACCTGCAGGACAAGAAAGCTTACCTGGCAGCATATGAGAATGAGGTCCTCTTCCTCTGTCTTGGAGGGACTATCCAGTTTCATTTGATTCAGTTTATTTGTCTGAACTGAGAGATCATTCTTCTGAGAGCATGTCCCTCGGCTGTGCCGCAATCTTGACATATTTGTTTCCATGAGGCGTCTCTGCAGAATGTTGTGTGGTTGCTTAAAAAAAAATTCAGGGCATGGGAGAGAAACACAGGTAAAGCAAAGCCAGATTGTAGCACTTGGCAATGCTACAAGCAGCAAACATTACATTATCTAAATAATCTATCTATATAATAAGTTAAACAAAAGCATTTGTGCTTAAATCAGTTATGACCCAATTTCCAATACAGGAATCTGATTCATTCATCACATCAAGTCATAATTTCTTTAACTTTAACTCTGGCTGAGAGGTAATATATGCCATTAGTGGCTGGGTGCACTTACCACATTAAGCCAAAACCAAACCCACCATACAATGCCTTAAACACAGAAGAAATCCTTCCCTGAAACAAGGAACCATTGAACTCACTCATCTCTCACCCTTGCTCTTACAGAAATGATCAAAGAGTTCAGCAAATGTTTATGTGAGAGAGCACTCAAAAATTTCCAAACCTGGGTCAGCTTGCTCTTGCCCATAATGTAGAAGTTGATACAGCTATTAAAAGCACAGAGGTTTGGCATTCTTTGTTCTGCACTGCATCCTGACAACTGACAAAACAGCAACAGGTCAAGTCAGCCATTATGCTTTTGGGTGTTTTGTGTTTTGTGCCTCCAAAACCCCTGCAATTTTGGAAATCATTTGCCACTGCCTTCTTCCTAGAGCTGAGAAGGAGTGAATGGCCCAAGTTCACCCAGCTGGCTTTGTGCCTAAGGCAAGACTAGAACTCACAGCCTTCTGTTTCTACCCTTGTGCCTTTCAACCACCACACTAAACTGGCTCTCTTATAACTAACAGCTAGGCATAAAAAGAATTTCAGATGGTGTTGCTGCTTTTGCCACCTTGATAAGCTGCCACACCTTCAAAAATGTCTTCTTCAAAAAATACCATCTAGAAATACTGGAAATGCCCCTAATTCAAGGGTTGTCTTATGCTTTGCAGAGAAAAGGATCTTAAGTTCAACACATGATACCATGTCTGAGAAAGAAACCCACCTGAAATGCTACAAATTTGCTGCCGATCAGTGTGGACTAGGAAAGTTGATGCTTCTAATTCCCATTAACCTTGGCCATTCACTATGAATTATGCAATCTGTTGCCAAACATGTGGAGGACAACACATTGCCTACCCATTGCCATCAGCCAAACAGATGCAAAAATCTTCATTCACTGGCCATTCCCTGAGCTATAGCAACAGTCCTATTTTTTCCTGCTGTACACATAAATGGAATAAACGGCTATCCCTGCCTCCTCCCATGTTTTCAGTATATGCACTGTGCTTTATCTGGCTGTTTTGAAAAAAATGAGAGAGAAGAAGAGAGAGGGGGAGAGGAAAACTCCCTGACAATCCAAATACATTCTTCCTATATACACCAATATACCTACTAAAAGTCGTGATGATAATGGCGTGACGCTGTCATTTTTCCTTTGTGTTGGGGGAAAGAGAGAGACTGGAAAGTGGAGTGAGACAACAATTCAGCGCATGCTGGTTACATAAGCAGAGAAAATCAAAGCAGGCCCTTTTCTACAGGGACTAGAAAATGATTAGAATAATTATTAGGTTTGCTGATAAGGTTGCCTGGGAAACTTATTAAAGAATTCTGAGTTCAGAAGATAGGTGGTATAATGAAGCAAGAGTTTTGCAAATAGGAAAATCGCCTCCTGCCAACCTCCACAGAGCTCTAGTGTTGCAAACTGCAGAAAGGAAGTTTGGCAATTTGAGTTGTGTTGGAGCAGAGCTGGAAGAAAATCATCTCAGCCACAAAGATGGGGAGTGATCAGACAGAATGGTTACAAAATCTCCTGTGGAATTGCTGTTTTCCCATAAGATTGGTTTCCTGTAGCTATATGTTCTGTCCTGTTATAAAAAACTAGCCTGTTAGTTATTTATTTACCTAACTTATATGACTTGAACAGGAATAGCACTATAAAGCTAAAGTCATTAACAAGAAATTACAGATGTCATTCAGTTTCCTTCCAATTAAACCAATACTCAAAAGCATATTCCAAAGTTATATTAACTAACTCAGCACAAACTAGTTGTGCTTTGAGTTGTTTGATCCCAACTCAATAGTTCCTTATACCTGGGGCCAACCCAAAGGCCACATATGGTACCCAGCATCTCATTTTGGTAGAGATGGATATTTCAAATTGTACAGTGGAGATTAATGGCGATATTGATAGGTGAAAGCATCTATGAATTTATAGGAAACAATAAATGTTGTGAAAATGAGTATTACTTCAAGATTGATGTATTTTCTAAGAGGATGTCTATGTTAATTCCACTTAGATATTTTAGACAAATTGCTAAATTAATGATTAACTTTTTTTTGGAAAGCTCAAACTCCATCCTTTCCTTATCAAAGTTACAAACAACCATATTTATTGTGAATCGCCCAGAGTCACTTTTTGTGAGATGGGCGGTATCTAAATTTGAAATATAAACAAACAAACAAACAAATAATTTTCTTTCTTTTTCAGTGATATCAGGTATACTTGTTAACTTGTATTACCATTCAGTTTTATTGACAATTTAAAAAAATTATACATACTGATAATATCCAGGACTTGAAATAAAAAACTGGAGTTTCTTACATTACAAAATCAATGACCTCAATTTTAAGAAATGCTGATACATTTCTTTCGATCTTAAAACAAGATTAATTCATTAAAAACTTTTTGGGGGTTTATTAGACTCTTCAGAGGTTGTTTAAAAAGTCTACACAAAATCTATTTTCCAATTTTGGAGATGCAATACTTTTGAGGTACGTACATAATTACTGGTCACATCCCTTGATAATTTCTTATTAACCGGATATTCTTGCTATAGTAATTTTTTGGAAGAAAATGAAGTTTAAGCATGTCCATGTGTTCCTAAATTATTTTTAAACAATTTGTCTATTTGTTAAAAACTCTGGATTTATCATGCTCAAAGTTTCCCTGATGAGAAGTGTCAGCTCTCAGCCTCTTAATGGGTTCTCTATCAACAGAGGAAAAACCAGACAATGTGATTCCATGTGGTAAAGATTCAATCTGCTGTTTAAAAATTGAGTTGTAGCAATCTTTCTATAGATGTTATTAGTATTGTATATTATTGCAGTATTTTATTTAGCTTTTTGTCTCTTCTCTTGTTAGGTTAATTTATGTGGTATGTGTATGTGTGAATAGTATCTGTATGTACATACATACATTGTTTTATTTTTATTCACAAGTTTTGCTTTTTTTTTTCCTTGGTATAATTCAATATTAAAAAAAAATTAAAAATGACACCAAGCATCTCATATCAGGTCCCCAAAGCACCCAAGATCAAGTTGCCCAAATTCAGTGACAAGGCACAGAATTTCAGAGATTCAAATACTGGATCAAAAAATAACAAAATAAGAATGGGTAGCCTCATGATGCTCATACATCTACCACTGGTGATACAGAGAAGCAAGCTGGAAGGTCATGACTCCCTTCCCAAATTGTGAAACCACCCATAACAAATTGAGAGAGGGAGGGAGAGAAAGAAGAGAACAGAAAGGTTGGAAAGGAAGGAATGCTTATTAAATTTCCAGCTGACACTAAAATAGGGAAATTAGCTAACACCTTAGAATGCAAAATCACAATTCAAAATGATGAAATCCTAAAAGATTATGTTTAATGGTGAAGACCTGCTCATTGATAGAAGAAAAATCAAATGGATAGGTACAGGATTGGGAAGTCCTGACCTGGCACTAATATGTGGGGAAAGGATTGAAGAGTCTCAGTGGATCACCAGCTGAACATGAACAAACAGTGCAATGAGGCAGCTACAAGGGTTAATGCATTTTTGACAGAACACTTGATAGAAGCATAACATTCAGACTATGGGAGATGATTTTACTGTGGTCAGTATTGGTTAAACCACCCTTGAAAGACTTGTGTCCAATTCTGGACATCACAATTTAAAAGACACCCAGATAAGCTAGATTGGTTTCAGAGATGAACTCCCAAAAATATAAGATACACAAAAACAAAGCCCTAAGAAGAAAGAGTTGGCTATGTTTACCTTGCAAAAGGAAAGATTTAAGGGAGACATGGCAGCTTCTACAAACAACTGAAAGGCTGTCATATACAAAAAGAAGCAAAACTGAAAGTGAGGCACAGAGATGTGCCAATAGGTTGAAATTAAAAGAAAGGAGATTCAAGCTGAATATCTGGAGGAATTTCCTGATGTTTAATGTGGCTCAGAAGTGGAACCATCCACCTAGAACACTAATGGACTCCCCTTTGGTAGAGGTTTTCAAACCAGGAGCTGGTTAGTCATCTGTCAAGAGATAATTTAATAGATTTCTGCCTTGAGAAGAGGGTTGGACCATATCACCTACAACTTGGAGGACAGAAAGTCAACATTATTCAAATCAGGCATGGGACACCTGTGACCTTCAATAAAGAATTTTCCTCTAAATGCTTTAGTGATGTGTGTGTGTGTGTGTGTGTGTGTGTGTGTGGTTTGCATTTAATTATGCCTGGCTATCTTCACCTATGCTTAACTTTGGGTAAAGAAGACTGTAGAAGGATAAGGCAGAAATTCTTCAAGTACCTGAAAGGATACCTCATAGGCGGAGGCTTAGTTTGTCTCATCCTAGATGGCAAGACATAGAATAATGGATTTAAGTTACTGGGAGGCAATTCCAGAGTAAACCCCAGAGAGATGGGGAACTCCCCATCATTGGATATATTCAAGCAGTAGTTCGACAGCTGTCTGTTAAGAATAATTTAATTAGGATTTCTGTACTAAATGGGCCCTTCTAACCCTATGGTAGGCAGCCAGCTTTTCTATCATCCAAGTCTTCTGATTCCTCATTTAAAACCAAGCAGGCTTTGACCTGGCACTTATTTCAAGTTTACAAGGAGACCAGATCCCTGTGGTAATGGGCCTATTTAGTTATTTGTGAGTCTACAGTGTTTACAGAAAAAGAGAACTTGCCCTTTCTGGTTAATAAATGAGCACAGAGCTTTCTTAACTAATCAGTCTTCATCTTCTAGCCAACAAGGAG